CTCTCTGGTTTCATTTAAAAGAGTCGATCATCAGATATTGTCCAAGATTAACCTTCAGGGTGGATATAGCTCGCTAGCAGTCTCGCACCGAGGACCTAATTGATGTCATCATTTACCCAGAATGCTTTGCATGTAAATAAAATGGCCACGTTCGTGTAATATATTTTTAAATTTTTATTTTAAAAATGAAACAAACTGAACAGCCTACAGTATTTTACAGTCTTTATTTTACAGTTAAAATATACGTTTATCAAATAAAGTCTAATGTTACAACTAATCAGTGATCCCTTAAAGAACCTCCATGGGCTGAACTAAACTCTCCCTGGTGTGTTTGTCTCCTTCAGGCTGTTCGTCCTGAGGGGGAAGCCTGAAGATGTGTTCCCCAAACTGTTCAACAAGTGGAAGGTGACACTGCTGACGTACGAGTACGACACAGAGCCCTACAGTCTGATCCGAGACAAAACGGTGACCACCCTGGCCGAACAACACGGAGTGAGCGTCATCTACAGAATCTCCCATACCCTTTATGACATAGATAGGTACGCGTCAGCATGTCTGCAGTGTTTATTTGTAGTTTTTTTTCGTTCTCCTGTATTTTACTTTGGTGGTCTTTGCTCACAGGCTGATTGAGGAAAACGACGGGAAACCTCCTCTCACCTACAACCGTTTGCGAGAGCTAACTAGGAAGCTTGGTCCGCCCAAAAAACCCATCCCTGCTCCGACCTTTGAAGACATGAAAGGTACGCAACCACCACGGAAAGATCTTATCAAGATTTTATTGAGGCTTAAACAGGGTTCCTGCAGATCCTTAAAAGTCTTAAAAGGCCTTGAATTCATCAATCCAAAATAAGGCCTTGATTAGCCTTAAAATGTCTTAAATCAACCTTTCTGAGGTCTTAAACATGTAAACATATTGTAAATAGGATGACTGTAATTCATCTGAAATATTAAAATAATTGGCAACATTTACTTTTTTAAACATTTACATGCAGACATTCCTCTTTGACATCATTTCCTGTTGCTTCACATGCAAATATCTCAACAGCTATTCAGTGAAATTTCTTTCATAATATGTTAATAATGTTGTCTTTCCAAAAATGCATTCGTGTTTCTTACAAACATTTTATGTCACATGCACTTTAAGGTTTCATCTACAGCAAATTGGGGTTAAGACCCCACTGTGGGTCCTAAAACTCCGAATTTTGGGTCGTTAGAGGATTTCCTGAAATTAAATTAAGTTTAAAACCAGAGGTGTCAAGTAACTAAGTACAAATACTTTGTTACTTTACTTAAGTAGTAATGTTGGTTATTTATACTTTAGTGGAG